AAGATTTCATTGACAATATCTTTAATGCAAAATTGGTATTTCCTCTCCACCCTGCCGATAAAACGTCTATTTAGAGTAAAGTTTTACAAAACATGTCGGAACGCAGCATAACCTATTTATTTCAAACGCCATCGCTACAAAGCGGGTGTAGCGCCATCTACGGTAACAAATTGTGATTCATTTTGGTTTATAAATTATTATTGCGATATACAGATGGCAATCGTTTCTATAATGTACGTCGATGGTTGCTCAATTAAAACTGACTTCTTCTTACTCACTCATTTGCGTCCTTTTTGTGGTGAGCTACAGTGTCATTGACACATTCATTTTTCTTATCTTCATTTATGATACCTTTTATTATACTTCTTTATCTACTCTCCTGAGACCGCTTCGTCATACGTCTAGTTAGTTATTTTAAAGGTCTCTTCCCGCAACTCACAACTTGAGCAGTCGCACACATAGGTGTCGCTTGCAGGTGTCTCGAGGCGTGCTAACGAGTGTGGTCACCGTTGCCATCGTCGGCTTCAACGTGCTTGGCATGTGCGTCGTTCATAGCGACCATTACCGACGCCACATGCGCGACCAGGCGCGTATGTTGCTGACATCACTCGCATGCACGGACCTCGCCATGGGCGTGCTCGTCACACCCTTCTGCATATACCCGTCAGTCTACGAGTGCTGGCCGTTCAGCGAGTGGTTCTGCCAGGTATGTACCAGCTTTTATAACATAACAAGTATATATGTGTGTGTGTGCGTCGGTGCGTGCGCGTGGGCGCGCGCGTGCGTGTGTGTGTGTGTGCGCGTTTGTGGGTATATGTATTAAATGTAAAATAAGGAGTCCAGTGACCGTCGAGATGGCAACACCGTGGAGCGGGCTTGGATGAATAGCTCTCTTTCTGCACGCTTTTATCAAAGCTGCTATCCTTCTATTCTATAACCCAGCCATGTTTCGTGCATTCCTTTTACTTTAACTAACATTTTTGGCTATTAAATGAACAAACAAAATGAAAAGGTGAATTGCCCAATTACGTGAAGTGTAATTAAATAGACGTAAAGTGCTCCGCATATAACGAAAATGAGAACCGCCATTTAAACAATAAATCAATCGCTGGTCTACCTGTTCTGACATTAGTATCTGAGGTAGCAGTATCAGTGGTTGATCAATTTTATTGTCCACTCTTCTAACAGATGGCAGCACCATCACAGGTCACGTCAGTGGCTCACGCGTGAATTTACCAGTAGGAGGAAAGCGCCACTAAACGGCGTCCGTAGGCAGCATGCATGAAGAAGGGCAATATTGGTATTCCTTCAAAAATACAGGATATTATTACCATAACAAAAAATTGCCCATACACAATGCGAAGTATTGCATCGGGGAGTAATTAGTGGAAATCTACTGTAGCTTACAGCCGTGTCTCATATCGACAATATATATATATATCAAGAGCGGATAATAACCTAGAGTGTACAACGGAAAACGGGAAAAAGTGGCTATTTCACGACTACATTATTCTACTTGGCCTGCGAGTCTAGAATAATTTGATGTATTGCATTAAGCAGAATTCTTTGCTCTCTAAAACAAGACCAACCGCTTGTCAATAACGATACTCTAGGCGGAGATATCGGCTCCTAAACCTGCCCTCCCACATGCCTAAACGCCACCTCGAATCCACTTGCCACCATCCTACACGCGGGTAAGCATTTTGGCTATCGTTTCCGTCACCACTTGGCAGCGCTGATAATTGATGTCATATGCCCAAATTTGGTACTGTTACTACACTTAGTAACTGAGCTGCGTTGTAAAAACTTGATGGAGCCGGCTCCATCATGACGGGCGTTAGCCGTGCTACGAAAGATAATGGAAGATAAGGGCATAGGCGATGCCCCCGAATGTCACCTATGATAACCGAAGCACCGTCCATTCATAAATTTATCGCGGAAAAACCGAACTTTCACGAAGCAACGCTTAGCCGCGTGTAGGATGGTGGCAGAAGTGGATTCGAGTGGCGTTTGGCATGTGGGAGGGGAGGTTTAGGAGCCGAATATCTCCGCCTAGGAGTATCGTATTGACAAGCGGTTGTCTTGTTTTAGAGAGCAAAGAATTCTGCTTAATGCAATCCCATGAAATTATTCTAGACTCGCAGGCAAAGTAGAATAATGTAGTCGTGAAATAGCACTATTTTCCCGTTTTTCCGTTGTACACTCTAGGTATTATCCGCTCTTGATATATATATATTATGGGTGCGCTCTTCCACAAGTTTTCTCCCAACAGGTAACAGCACATGTTTACATATGTCTGCCCAAGATGGCAGCACCATCACGCGCCTGCCCGTGCAGATCGAAGCCGTGCTCATCAGCGTGTTCTTCCATCAGATAGCAGCACCATCACACGCCTGTTGTGTGTTTCAGCAGAGCACGTATATTACGTATATATACCACAGGGCAGATTTTAGACATTTTCTGAGGACATGGTCTGACGGAGCGATTGAAAAACGTTTTTGTTTCAGCCGTGACCTACCATTATTGGCTTTATTGAAAGGACCATGAAATGTACTTTCCGCTGACATGCGAAGAGTAAGTGTCGGACGTTTGCTTGTAGAATCTATACATGCCTGGACGTATGATTCTACAATGTCACAGTGAAATTTCAAAAGCTAAATTTGGTTGAAGAAGGTTTATGCTCCTTAAATCGTATAATTTATATGGCATTCTCTACTGTCAGTGTGTTACATGTAACTTATGCCACTGCCAGTATAGCCACTGCCAGTGCATGTGGTGGGGATAGTACTGTGTAGTTTTTGCCTGTGTTAATTAGTTACAGGTGGCAGCTCTCTATTTCAGCCTGTAGGCTTGCGTAGGTAAATGGATGAGTGCTTACTTATTCTGTCTTGCAAATAGTTGTTGCTACAACGTACGATGGGAGCTTTGATCTTTAATCTTAAGACACTTAAACGTACACGCCATCTCGTGGCAACTTTCATAACGATCCCAGCGAACATTTCTTCGAGAAGGTTCCTGATACCATCCCTGTGCCTTCCACTGTTTCGGCGCGTATGTGAACACATTTGGGACTAACAGCTAGGGTTTACTAGAATCCCACCACTCTACCACAGAGTCACCGCAGTAGACGTGAGATGAGCGCTGTCGCTCCGCGGCACTTGTTAATACTAGTAGCGTGTTGTAGTGTATGTATACTCTCTATATACTGGTAGGAGCAGCAGTATTGATAGGAGCAGATGTTCGGCAATTAGCAACAGTAGTGAGGATAGTAGTGATATAATTGGTATTGGCAAAAATAGCTAACTAGGAAATAGGAAAAGTGTGAAACTTCACGACCACTCAGATTGACCTATTTGAAACTGTTTTTCTCTCTATCAACCTCACTTTCAATAACAACGCATGGTAACCTTGTAACATACTGATTTTATATGATACACTGGCCTTTGCTTTATAGAGACATGTAAGGAACCATAGAATTGTCCCGATTAAACGGTGGTCCCGATTACACGACGAACACAACAACGTGCGCAAATATTGTTTTCCAAAGACATGTGTTGTTAAACCGATGCGCCCTTTTATCTGGGACCGATAAAGCGGAGGCCATTGTAATGCAAATGCTCTCACTGTGAGCACATAGATCTGATTAAGCAATTAGGTTCTACGAAATTCTTAAGTATGAGCGATTATCTAAATGCCTCGCGCGTTTTTTTTCTCTGTAGATGGGCAGAGACGGGCAGCCGCGACGACACTGCCGAGCCGTCAAGTCTTCGAAGACACCGGCCGCCATTGCTCTGGGATTCTTCATTGCCGTCACACCGTGGACTCTCTCGCAGCTGATCCCACTAGGTGGCACCCCTGTCAACGCAACCCTCGATTTCCTGCTCACGTGGCTCGCACTCAGTAATAGCTTCTGGAATGTTGTCATCTATGGCATCATCAGCAAGTCATATAGGAATGCTGCTAGCAAGCTGCTGGTGGACCTCGTACATAAGAACAGAGGCAGTAGCGTGCGGCCCGCCATCGCCTCGGTGCCGGCGAATAGCGGGAGGCACGATGCGCCGCCCGTGTTAGCCTTGGAACAAGGCAGCGTGGAACCCATGGAGCTGCAATCATGCTAACAGTAGGAGGGAGGTGGTAGCGTCAAGCCATGAGGAACATGGACATGCTGTTATAATAGCAGCTAAGTAAGTTGGAAGCTGCAGTCATGGTAACAGCAGGAGGGACGTGGTAGCGTCAAGCCATGAGGAACATAGACATATGCTGTTATAATAGCAGCTAAGTAAGATGGAAGCTGCAGTCATGGTAACAGCAGGAGGGACGTGGTAGCATCAAGCCATGAGGAACATGGACATATGCTGTTATAATAGCAGCTAAGTAAGATGGAAGCTGCAGTCATGGTAACAGCAGGAGGGACGTGGTAGCGTCAAGCCATGAGGAACATGGACATATGCTGTTATAATAGCAGCTAAGTAAGATGGAAGTTGCAGTCATGGTAACAGCAGGAGGGACGTGGTAGCGTCAAGCCATAAGGAACATGGACATATGATATTATAATAGCAGCAGCAGGCTGGTGTCTTCTATTGATGGACCATATCTACTCCGGATAACAGCTAGTGGCGGTAGTGGCCACGTGTCGCTTCAAACCCCTTGTTTTGAAGCTCTCCGTATCTGGAATATATCTGTATATGTATCTTATGAAATATTGAATAAAAGTATGTATATTTCAATGCGTGCATGAGTGCACCGTGTTTGTGTGTGCGCGCGTGCGTGCTTGCGTACGTGCGTGTACCTGGGTTCCTTTGCGCTTTTGTGCGTGCGTGCCTGCCTGTCTTCCTGAGAAGGAGAGAAAGATAGAGAGAGGAAGAGAGATCAAACGAGAAAACGAGAGAGCCATATCAATTTCCAGTAAATAAGCTGGCTTTAAGGAGCTGTTTTGTTTGTGAAGTGAAGTTGCTAGATTTGAAACATGTTATATAAAAATGCACTGCCTTCTTTCTAATGTTATTACCTGAAAAATATATTATGAGTTTAAAACGTTGGCTATTAAACATTAATCCGATAGGATACGTGATAGACAAAAGCAACATGCAATATTGGTGCATAAAGCTATATGAATTAAAATGTTACATAACTACATTTTATCTTTGCGTCTTTGTATCTTTTTCTTGGTGATGTTTGTGTTTGTGTGTGGGCTTCGTGGAGGCGCCATGACTACGTAGCTTGCAGGATACTGTGCAAAGCGAAGAATGACAAAAAACGATATATTGACTACGCTGCTCATAGCTGTCATGTTCTCGGTCCACAACGACAAGTGTAACTTCTGTAGTTAGCATTTGGTGTTAGCTAGCTTTCTGTACATAGAGAGCATAATTATTATGATGCATATTATAATGATGATAATAACTATAATAATAATAATTATTATTATTATATATAATATATTATAATGATTATAATAATTATTATAATGATGCATGATTATTATGATGCATGGATGTTGTAATGATCTGTCTTATATCGGCAATGACAAGCCAGATAAAACGGCAAATGTTAGAAATACTATTGAATTAATTTACATTGCCGAGCATGCAATTATATCACAAAGGTATATAATAATCCCATAATCCCATAAAGGTACCCCCAAAGGTACACCCCTAAAGGTACCCCCAAAGGTACCACATAATCCCATATGTTGGTTGAATGCGCACCCTAGAACCGGACATGGTATACACGATTCAAGCGGTTATCTGTGACAGTCACGAGTCGGCACACTGTCACATTTGACGCACGGTATAAAGGTTTGAGGGACGAATTGAAAAAATGCACTTTCGCGGCACGTGGCGTGTCTGTGAACATCATCGGACACACTGGTTGCTCTTCTCGCCTCCTCACCCACCCCACGCACTCCTACACTTTCCACAGCTTACATGGTGGCAGCCTTGGGGGTTGTTTGATTTGGTATCGTTGATAGAGGTGATGATACCGTGTGATGTCGGCGGTCCTACTGATGGAGATGATATAGTCATTATGAACGGTGTTGGTGCTTCTAACTGTTATGCGTGTATAACCACATGTTAATTATATTTTTAGTTGAGTTGTCGTACTCATCGCTACATTTTCCAGATTCACACATCTAAGATTCTTTAATTAGGAGAACAGTGTTTTTCGTGCTAGTATATATCGGTAAGTATATATATATATTATATATATGTCTGTGTGTGTGTGCGTGCGTGCGTGCTTGTGATTCATTTTGGTTTATAAATTATTATTGCGATATACAGATGGCAATCGTTTCTATAATGTACGTCGATGGTTGCTCAATTAAAACTGACTTCTTCTTATTCACTCATTTGCGTCCTTTTTGTGGTGAGCTACAGTGTCATTGACACTTTCATTTGTCTTATCTTCATTTATGATACCTTTTATTATACCTCTTTAGCTACTCTCCTGAGACCGCTTCGTCATACGTCTAGTTAGTTATTTTAAAGGTCTCTTCCCGCAACTCACAACCTGAGCAGTCGCACACATAGGTGTCGCTTGCAGGTGTCTCGAGGCGTGCTAACGAGTGTGGTCACCGTTGCCATCGTCTGCTTCAACGTGCTTGGCATGTGCGTCGTTCATAGCGACTATTACCGACGCCACATGCGCGACCAGGCGCGTATGTTGCTGACATCACTCGCATGCACGGACCTCGCCATGGGCGTGCTCGTCACACCCTTCTGCATATACCCGTCAGTCTACGAGTGCTGGCCGTTCAGCGAGTGGTTCTGCCAGGTATGTACCAGCTTTTATAACATAACAAGTATATATGTGTGTGTGTGTGTGCGTCCGTCCGTGGGTGCGTGCGCGTGGGCGCGCGCGTGCGTGTGTGTGTGTGCGCGCGTTTGTGGGTATATGTATTAAATGTAAAATAAGGAGTCCAGTGACCGTCGAGATGGCAACACCGTGGAGCGGGCTTGGATGAATAGCTCTCTTTCTGCATGCTTTTATTAAAGCTGCTATCCTTCTATTCTATAACCCAGCCATGTTTCGTGCATTCCTTTTACTTTAACTAACATTTTTGGCTATTAAATGAACAAACAAAATGAAAAGGTAAATTGCCCAATTACGTGAAGTGTAATTAAATAGACGTAAAGTGCTCCGCATATAAACGAAATGAGAACCGCCATTTAAACAATAAATCAATCGCTGGTCTACCTGTTCTGACATTAGTATCTGAGGTAGCAGTATCAGTGGTTGATCAATTTTATTGTCCACTCTTCTAACAGATGGCAGCACCATCACAGGTCACGTCAGTGGCTCACGCGTGAATTTACCAGTAGGAGGAAAGCGCCACTAAACGGCGTCCGTAGGCAGCATGCATGAAGAAGGGCAATATTGGTATTCCTTCAAAAATACAGGATATTATTACCATACAAAAAATTGCCCATACACAATGCGAAGTATTGCATCGGGGAGTAATTAGTGGAAATCTACTGTAGCTTACCAGCCGTGTCTCATATCGACAATATATATATATATATATTATGGGTGCGCTCTTCCACAAGTTTTCTCCCAACAGGTAACAGCACATGTTTACATATGTCTGCCCAAGATGGCAGCACCATCACGCGCCTGCCCGTGCAGATCGAAGCCGTGTATGGTGTACGAACGAGGTCATACTAAAAATATGCTTGAATGGACATCATTTTAGCTTAAATGGACCTAAAAATTGCTGAAATGGACCTAAATAGGCGCTGATTGATACAAACAACATGTTCAAATAGCCTATATCAGCAGAATAAACGCCCATTCACGCTAAACAAATGTCCATTTCAGCAAATATGTCTCCCTCTTGCTGATATCAGCACTAACAAAGGTCTATTTCAGCATAATTGTCTCCCTTTTGCTGATATCAGCGCTAAGAAATATGCTAAAATGGACTACGAACGAGGTCATACTACAAATATGCTTAAATGGACATAATTTTAGCTTAAATGGACCTAAAAATTGCTGAAATGGACCTAAATATGCTGATTTGGCTAAATAGGCGCTGATTCAAGCAGAATAAGTGCTGATTGATGCAAAACAACTGCTGATTGATACAAACAACATGTTCAAATAGCCTATATCAGCAGAATAAACGCCCATTCACGCTAAACAAATGTCCATTTCAGCAAAAGGGAGACAATTATGCTGAAATGAACATTTGTTAGTGCTGATATCAGCAAGAGGGAGACATATTTGCTGAAATGGACATTTGTTTAGCGTGAATGGGCGTTTATTCTGCTGATAAAAGCTATTTGAACATGTTATTTGTATCAATCAGCAGTTGTTTTGCATCAATCAGCACTATATTCTGCTTGAATCAGCGCCTATTCAGCCAAATCAGCATATTTAGGTCCAGTTAAGCAATTTTTAGGTCCATTTCA